CTGTTCTAGTCGTCTATATAGATTGAAGTTTGCATCTGCTTGCCTTCCCTCCCTCTCCTCCTCTTCTCACATCTCCTTTGAATCCAGTCTCCTCCACTTTCCCAACAACCTCTCGATAGAACGAGCAGCCGCCAAGCTCATGGCAAACTGGATCTTATTTCTCTGATCTTCTCTGCTCCTTCCCCGCCTTCTCCTTCCCCGCCTTCTCCCTCCTCTTCTTCTCCCTCCTCTTCTTCTCCCTCCTCTTCTTCTCCCTCCTCTTCTTCTCCTCCTCTTCTTCTCCCTCCTCCTCTTCTCCTCGCCTCCATGCCCCTCCCTTCATGTCGGAGGCTTCGGCCCTCCTCTTCTAAAACACTTATAGACGAAGCGGTGCGTGTCTTGCTATGTATTGTCAGACGCATAAAGGAATTCGGAGGGTTGGCCCGACACCCGACCCCACAATCCTTCGAAACGACGCCGGCCGACACAGGCTGAGTGAGAGCACGCAGCCGCCGGGGGCCGCCGGGCGGGCCGGGCCGCCCCAGACTTTACTAAGTTACGTCTTCATCACGGTTAAGTGAAGGTATCAGTTCAGTAAGCCTTTGGAAGTAACTTAACTTTGAGTAAACGGTCTTCATGAGCCTTGTAGAGTCTGGGTTTCTGAGCCTCAAATCATTGAATACTCACTCACACCAGCCCTGCCGGGCCGGGCCGGGCCGGACTCACTGTCGGGACTCTGTGCTACTGATCGGATGATCGTGATCGGACTCGCCGGGGGGCGAGACTCAGTGACATTCATTAGAGTGTCGCCGGAGAGACACCGGGCCCGGCGGGGTATCATCGGAAGCCTGCCCGGCCCAGGCAGGCGCTGTAGCTTCAGTGGCTTCGGGCCTCGCCGAACGGTTCGGCGAAGTTAACTCAGTGACTCTTGGCGCCAGATTTATTTGAGTTCAAGAAATCGCTTCAAAAGATTTTGAAAAAATAGAGAAACATTTCAAATATTTATAACAAGAACCAACGAAAAAAGCCTTCACTGTCCATCTGGTGATGAATGACGAAAGGGCACCTCCCCACCTCTGACTATCCCTACCCCACCCTATCGGCACTACCCTGACCTACCCCACCTGGCTACGACTATCCCTACCCCTTCAGGGCCTAATCCCCCTACGACTCAGATCCCTACCACACCTACCGACCTATCCCCCTACCGTACAACTTAGTATCCCTACGGGGGCCTGTTTCCCTACCGGGTGACTGACCTAACCCCCCTACGACTATCCCTACCCCACCAGTCACTTAGTAGGTCCCCTCCGATAATCCGGGCCTACCCCACCAGTACCCTGCCCCATTTTTTCGAGGGTCCCGGGGGGGTGACTTTCAACAGGTTAACTTCCATTGGGGGTGGGGTGGTACATGTTATGTCCCCCTGTACAAAATCCTGATCGACGTCTGCAGGAAGAGCGAGCGAGGGCCAGGGCAGATGCGATCGCATGAGAGATGAGGATAGAGCAGGCGAGCTTGGAGCAAGACAAGGCCAGGAGTAGCAAGCGGAGAAACAGCACAAGCCCTTCTTCGTCTTGAGCCTGGAATGAAAGTGAAAACTTCGCTTAGCAAGGAGCATATACTGACCATAGTGCAAATCACATGTATTGCTTCTGTGAGCACGATCAATGACACTATTTGCCTCAGATGTTCCCCTTCATCGCATTGCGTCAAGCTGACGGCCTTCGCTTCTCCTCCTTGACAGGAGAGACGGTCCCAGACGTCGCTCTCACCTGCCATACAAACGTTGAGACTGGCGAGGTCGTGTGCCATGGAGGATTCGTCCCTCAACAGTCCGCCCCTGCAAGTCAGCTGCAATCTGTCCATCAGTTCTGAGCCTAGCTGAGATGAGTCTTGTACGGAACAAGGACATGCAGCTGCTCTCACAGATTGATTTTCAGTAAACGTCATTCTGCTTTAGGCGCTGGTCTGCTCTTGTCATCATTGTACAAGTTCGACTTAATGCATGAGATGAGATCGAGCAAGAAAGATAGACGACAGAGGGAGGATAGTTGAGCTCCATGTAGATGTACGAGAGCAAAACATTGTGGAATGAGAGCAAGCAAGAGAAGGACGAGGACGAGGACAAGAATGCTGTTTGTGATGACTGTGATGACAGAACATCTTGCTTCACAGCAGCAAAGTGCGCTGTTCATCCAGCCAATGTTTTTCAGTGTATCAGATCATCCAGCCCATATTTTTCATTGTGTTACTGTCTAATCTCTCAACACCCAAGAAGGCAAGTAGAAGAAGAGGTTTACTAGCTCGCCCATGCACAACTGCCTTGGCCTGACTCGGTCTAAAACCATGACGTCCTCGGTCGGGGAATGAGATGAAAATCTCGCTGTTGAGAGTTTTAAAGATCAAAGAAGTAGAAAAGCGAAAACTCAGTAAATGCTTCTTAACATTTTTCGCTTCCACTCGCAAGATGGTTGAGGTTGGAGCAACAAATGTCTAGCGCCAAGCAGGCGCTTGCCACGACGACGTAAAATCTTCAATTCATTTTGAGATGCACAAGATCACTATTGCAATCGTGGCGCTCAGCAGCTGATTTCATTTGAGCCCCTCGCAATCCTCTGATAGCTGCTCAACCATCAGGGTTGCCGCTCAAGTGCAGCCCGAGCGCACACCTAGTACCGGCTCAGCTGAGCCTCACATTGCGGAACACTTATCAACCACTGTAGTTAGTTCCAAGTTCACTCAGGCTCGGAGGGCCTCACGAGTCATCGCCGGGACTAAGTCCGATGCCGGCCCGGCGCCCGGGCACTCACTGAGGCTGTCGGAGCCTCGGCTGAGCGCGACTTGGGAGGGCACGGCTCAGCGGCTTGTCAGGATGCCACTCAGTGGTCTCGGCCCACCGGAGTCCCGGGCCATCCGGACTCGAGGTGAGTCTAGCAGTGCCGATGGCCCACGGACTCCGAGGCTCACCAGGACTCTCGCAAGTTTCAGGGTTCTCACACGGTCACTGCAACTTCTCCGCCAGAGGCTCCGACGATCGGCGGGTGTTAGATTGAAGCCTGCTCACCAGCAGCCGCTGAGCGACGAGCTTGCCAAAGGGGGTTGCAGCCTTCACATGCTGCGGCTTGAGCTGCTGCCGGACGGAAGGAGAGCGGAAAGCAGGACAAGAGCTGAGGACGAGCACGTGGCGACGGCTGAGACCTGACAGAGGAAGCGAAAACTCTTGGAGATGGCGCTAGCAGTGAAGATGGCAATCGAGAAGGTCTCGGCCAAACTCGCCTCCAGCAAGAAGAGTCCCAGCCTCGCGTCTGACTGCACTTGCACGAGGGTGCGATGGGAGAGGTCGAACCCCCACAGCCCGAACCGCGACATGGCGCAGAGGCACATGGCCAACGGCAGCTCGCCACGAGCTGCGAGCAGAGCGACCCCAGCAACGCATGCTGCCTGGAACAGGGAGAAGAAGAGGGCGCAGGGATACATGCCCAGCCTCCTCGCTGCCACCGGCACAGCAAACGTGGCCAAGACGCCACAAACTTGAGCCAAACTCCCGAAGTACCCCAGCAGCCGCACGTCGAGGCCCTCCTCTCTCATGTACATGTTGAACAGCCCTCCCGGAGTCACAACGGTGAAGTACAAGAGCCCGTAAGCGAGCACGAGAACTCGCAGCTTGAGGCTCCCGGCAGCCGCGCCTCCTCCCTTGTCTCCTTGCTGTTTGACAGACATGCTGGGACTTGGCTGACCCGCTAGGGAGACGTCGGAGGAGGGAGCGAAGGAGAGCAGCAAGACGGACATAAGCTGGAGAGCGACTAGCAATGCCATGGTGCCCAGTCTGTCCAAGACTGACATGGAGAAGTTGATAGCGAGCGGGCAGAGGCAGGCGACCAGGAGGTCGATCCTCGTCAGCAACGAGTTGGCTGCGGCAAGACGGGAGGAGATCTCTTGCTGCTTTCCTTGGGCGTCACGGGTGACGAGGTCGTAGACGTCCTTCTTCTCCTTGACGCGCTTGAAGTGCCGCGATGATATCATCTCCATCCCCGAGAAGATCCCTAGCAGCAGCACCATGGGCATGGCAGCGCTTCCTTTCTCCAGCATGTACAGCTGGATCGCTACCACCAAGAGCGACACCTGCTGGACCATAAACAGCCAGGCCACGTGCTCGGTCTTGCGTAGCGAGAGCCATTCCCAGCTCTGCCGGCAGGACACGAGGCCGAAGGAGATCTGGATGGCAGTCCGAAGGAGGTAGACCAGGGAGCCGACGCGGCTCGATAGCATGATGCTGATGAAGAACGCCCAGGAGCGATCGCACACGGCTCTGAGTGTGAAGGTCATATGAAACAGCAACCATCTCCTCGCTGTCTCCCTGTCGTCTGTGTGCTTCCCGAATGCCTTCGTTTGTTCCTGCGATGGGTCTGCTCCGAGTCCTCCCCGAGGAGGGTGCAAGAACAGCCTCGGGCGCAACAACGAATGGACCATGGCGCGCTTGGTAGCTGCTCCGTCAGCTCGTAGAGCCATGGCAGGAGCACTGAGCAGGCACATATGGAGCAAACAGACCCTGATGAGCCAGACGCAGACATCCACTGCCATTGCTCACTCGCTCCCTCCTGACTCGCTCCCTCCTGACTCGCTCCCTCCTCCCTCCCCTCCCTCTTCGTCGCTTCCACCGGACGCAACAAATATCCCTCTTTCCAACAGCACCCTACCCCCCTATTCTTTGGGAATCGGACGGGTTCTGCATCCTGCTCTAGCGGTGGGGATGTCGGGGGAGCCGCTGATTCGGGAGGAGTCATGGGCGATGGAGGACTGGGGAGAACGACCAGACCACCAGAGGCTAGTGAGCAGGACAGGTAGGACTGCTCCCTCCTCCTTCCCTCCCTCTGCTCCTCCCTGGGCTCCTCCGTCCGCTCCGTCTTCTCGCCCCTGATACTTCCTTGTCCTCCTGACTCTCATCTTCTTCCGCCTCCACTTTCTCACCCTCCTGCCCTGCCTCATTTTCATCACATCATCATCATCTCTCTCCTCTCCCCTCTCTCTCTGCCGCTCCATGATCCATCGTACCGAACCGCTCGCAGGGGGCATGCAGGTCAAGAACAAGATGAGCAGGAGGAGCATGTGACAATTTCATCTTCTCATCCTCACTCGCTCCTGACGGGCTGTGTGTGTGAAGGATACGAAGTTACCTCTGGGAAGATCTCTTCACCACTCTCACGGACTCACCGTGGTCGAGGATTCTGGGAATAGGTGCGCCCCTCCATTGCTCGATAAGCTCCTTTCATAGCATGCAGGTTCCGCACTGTACCTATTCCTCTGGACGTCCTTTGCTCTGCTCTACATGATCTTCAACAATGAGCGAGTGAGATCTTCCTCCTCCTCCACCTCTCTTCGTCTCCTCCTCCTAATCCTACTCTTGCTCCCTCTATCATCATCCTCACCCTACCTCCTTCTCCACCTCCCCTTCCAACCTCGGTATTGCAGATCCCAGGGTGCAAGCGATCGGAGATCCTGACCTTCACCGACGCCTTCCTCCTCTCTCTCGACTCTCAGACCACCATCGGCTTCGGGAACTACGCAATCGACTCTGATTGCATCCCAGGCATCTTCGTGCTCGTCCTGCAGGTTCTTGAACTCTGGAGGGGAGGAGGAAGGAGAGGAGGGAGGAGGGGAGGGAGGAGGGGAGGAGGAGAGGAGGAGGAGAAGTGAAGATCAGGAGATGAAGAGGAGGGAGAGAAGGAGTAGTGGTCAAGAGGACGAGGACGAGCACGAGGACGAGGAGCAGGAGGAGTAGTAGGAGTGGTTGTAGAGGACGAGGAGGGGTGGAAGGGAAGTAGAGGAGGACGAGGACGAGGAAGGGAAGTAGAGGAGGAGGAGGAGGAGATGCGAAGAGACTGGAGAGGATTAAGAGCCTCAAGGTGGCTGAGCGCTGACGGTGACTGAAGCAGCCGAGAATCTTCCTCAGCTGACGGCGCGGGAAGGTGGGATGGGCAAGAGGAGGAGAGGGAGGGAGGGAGGGAGGGAGGGAGCAGAGGAGAAGGAGGAGGAGGAGGAGGAGGAGGAGGAGGAGGAGGAGGAGGAGAAACTGATTTTCGGTGCAGCTCGACTAATGTTGATCGCATCAATATTTCGGTCCAGGAGGTCCCCAGCTGAAGGAGGGGAGGAACGAGCTGAAAGAAATTCGCAGCTGACCCTTGAGTCCGCCGATGTCTTCCTGCTGTTGCCTTATATCATAAGACACAAGTGAGGAGGGAGGGAGGAGGACGAAGGAGGAGGGGAGGGAGGGAGGGGAGGAGGAAGGAAGGGGAGGCAACAGCAGGGAGAACGAGGAGGAAAGAATGAAGGAGCAAGAATAGCAGGAGGAGGGGAGGAGGAGGAAGGGAAGGGGAGGAGCAGGAGGAGCGGGAGCAGGAGCAGGAGCAGGAGCAGGAGGAGCAGGAGGAGCAGGAGCAGGAGGGTGGGGCTGAGTTCTTGTCAGGATCGACGAGTCTAGTCCGCTGTGGGAGGTGACTCTGCGAGATCTCGACAGGCAGCGGGTGCGAGGGTGTGGGAGGTGCAGGAGGTGGGGCTGAGCTGGGAGCAGGCGGAGTTTGTCATCCTGCTGGAGGGCAGCACGGCATCGACCAGCCAGACCCTCCAGGTGAGGAGAGGAGACTCGAGAGCTCCTGACGCCGCGCAGGCGAGACAATCCTACCTGCCGGGAGAGATCATCCTTGGGTAGGAGGAGGAGGAGGAGGAGGAGGAGGAGGAGGAGGAGGAGGAGGAGGAGGAGGAGGAGGAGGAGGAGGAGGAGG